TTTTATATTATGGTGTTTACTCAGGCGACTTCTGTAAAACAGTTGCCTCAATCTTGCTGCTAGTTCCCTGTGGATTTCTGAAGAAGCAGAAGTCGTAAGATAGTACAAAGCCATATCAAAATGTTCATCCTGAGATTAAATAAGCTGTGCTGTATTTTAAGAAGAGAGGGGAAGAAAAAAATCTCAACTTCACAATTACCGGTAACTAAGTTGCATATCATTATAACGTTACAGATGAGTTTCTGAGACAAGAACAGAATAAACTGGTAGAAAAAGTACTCAGGAAAGACTGAGTAAAAGAAATTGCATAATCCTTTTTAAGTTTATGGCATTTCATTTCATGCTAGCATATTTATTTATTGCAGAGTCAGGGAAATGCAGCTCTTACTGGAATGAAAGTTGACCCCATTTTGCAGTTGCATCACAAAACCAAACCCATAAAAAAGATTTTTAAAAGTGGATGTGGAGTAATTTAACTGTTAATATTTAACACGTGCGGAGCATTTAGGAGCTCCCTGCCTCAAAATGGATTCCCAGGTTTAAAACTAGTAGTATGCCAGGAATGTTTTATAAAAAAATTCTCACATACAAACGTGTCTCGTAAAAAGAGGAAGAGGGAATCTACACATACTTGATCTTAGTCAAAAGATTTTATTGCTCAGTAGGATTGGAACCGAGGAGTATCTGATACCTAGAATCCTGCATCCAGTTTTGGTCCCCACACTATAAAAAAAGATGTTGAGACTCTAGAAAAAGCGCAGAGAAGAGCAACAAAGATGATTAGGGGACTGGAGACTAAAACATATGAAGAATGATTACAGGAACTGGGCCTGGCTAGTCTAGTGAAGAGAAGGACCAGGGGAGACAGGATAGCAGTCTTCCAATATTTGAGGGGCTGCCACAGAGAGGAGAGGATGTCAAGCTATTCTCCAAAGCACCCGAAGGCCAGATAAAGAATAACAGATGGAAAGGAGAGATTCAACCTGGAAATAAGGAGAAATTTTGTGACAGTGAGAACAATCAACCCATGGAACAGAAGTTGCCTTCGGACGTTGTGGGAGCTTCATCCCTGGAGGCTTTCAAGAAGAGATATGTCAGAAATGGTGTAGGGTCTCCTGCTTGGGTAGGTGGGGGTGGACTAGATGACCTACAAGGTCCCTTGCAACTGTTAATCTATGTAAATGTATATGTAGACATGAAGACCCAGATTGTTGGGGGCAATAGGCTGACTAAATCGCTTAGAGAAGGCTGGAAAACACTGAAGCGGTATTGCTACCGTATATCCCTTTGTGGCTATTCAGTAGGGCCATATTTCACAGCCTTGGCAACTTTAAAATATGTGGACTTCAACTCCCAGCCAGTTATGGTGCCAAGGTTGAGAAATCACGCAGGAGGTCTCTACAAAGCTGCTAAAAGGGTATTTCAATCTTTTGAATGAAGCAACCCTTCCAAATCCCTTAAGAAGCAATGCGGCCAAATTGCCATATCATTTCTGTGCTTGCCTCCTCCAACCCTTTCTAGTACAGGTTGTCTGTACAAATTATGTTGTTGGCCACCAGGATGGTACTGCTTATTTTAACCCACACAGCCCTCCAATAAGGGATCGGCAATACAGGTAGTCCCCAACTTAACAACCGTTCATTTAGTGACCGAAGCTACAACAGCACTGCAAAAAGTGACTTGTGACTATATTCAAAGGTGCTTTTTTTTTTTTACAACATTTTTTCCAGCATCCCCATGGTCATGTGATTAAAATTTGGGCAGTTAGCAACTGGCATGCATTTATGACGGTCACAATGTCCCGGAGGTCATGTGAGATTGATTCCTTTGGCGACCACCTGACAAGCAAAGTCGATGGGAAAAGCCAGTTTCACTTAACAACCGAGTTACTAACAGCTTCAGTGATTCACTTAGCAATACACAAACAGCAAGAAAGAAAAAAATAAAATGAAGGGGCCTGGTGGCTCAGCAGACTGATAGCATTGTGATTAACACCAGCTGTCTGCAATTACTGTAAGTTCAAATCTCACCAGGCTCAAGGTTGACTCAGCCTTCCATCCTTTCTAAGGTAGGTAAAATGAGGAGCCGGTTTGTGGGGGCAATAAGCTGACTTTGTATAAATATACAAAAGTATGAAGGCTATTGCTTAACGCACTGTAAGCCGCCCTGAGTCTCCGGAGAAGGGCAGCATATAAATCAAATTTTAAAAAAATGGAGCAAAGCTTTTTTAACAATTGTCTTAGCAACAGAAATTTGGGGCTCAGTTGCAATCGCAAGTCAAAGATCACCCATAATCCCTAAAAGTTATTTAAGCCTTCAGGCCCTGCGGAGAAATAGGTTTAGAAAGCAGTTCCTATCTTGTTTTTGCTTGTTATATTTGCCACATGGAGACAGATCATTTCTAAGATACAGATAGTCCTCTACCTACGACCACAATTGAGGCCAGAATTTGTTGCTAACTGAGAAATTCGTTAAGTGGAATTTTGTCCCATTTTACCTTTTTTTGTCACAGTTGTTAAAATGAATTACTGCAGTTGTTAAAAGCGAATCTGGCTTCCCCACTGACTGCTCGTCAGAAGGTTGCAAAAGACCCCGGGGCACTGCAACTGTCATAAATATGAACCAGCGGTCATGCATCCGAATGTAAATCATGGGACCATGGGGATGCTGCAAGGTCATAAATGTGAAAAATGGTCATAAATCACTTTTTTCAGTGCCGTTACTTTGAACAGTCACTAAACGAACTGTTGAAATTCGAGGACCGCCTGTATTGCTTATTTTAAACTAAGCCGTATCATCCTGGTGTCCAACAACGATTGTCAAGCCATACCGAAGCCAGCATGCTAATGTATTTATTGTATAGCTGCCTTGTAGCCCCATTCTTAATGTTAAAACTAGTTTCTCCACCTCTTTCCTTGAGGATTAAGTCTGTTTTTATTGTTGGCTGAAGTTTTCCTTCTTGCAACATAGAAGAACCTCTAGATAAGATTCCCCAAACTTATAGCAACATTCAGAGATGTGGATTTCATCTCCCAGCACGGCTGGCTGGGGCATTCTGGGAGTTGAAGTCCTCAAGTCTTAAAAGTTGCCAAGGTTGGAAACCCTGCTCTAGATATTAAGCATGTGCTGTAGCTAAAATTCAGTGTGTGGCTTTGATCCGTAAAGGCAGTTCTTGACTTGACAACTATTCGTTTTCGTGACTGCAGCGAAAAAAATGTGACATGACCATTTTTCACACTTAACGACCATTGCAGCATCTGTATGGTCATGGGGTCAGAATTTGGATACTTGGCAACTGGCATGTATTTACCATGGTTGCAGCATCCCATGACAAAAAATATGGTAAAGTTGGGTGCGATTTGACAACTGCCTTGCTGAGCAGTGGGAATTCTGGTCCCAATTGTGTTGCAAGTCAAGAACTAAACCAGCACAATTCCTCCAGCTGTTAATGAACAGTGGAAGCTAGTTAATGTACAAACTGAAATTGTTCCTGCAACAATTGCTTTCTGTTAGAAAGATTGCTCACCCCAGAATATTTGCACCTGCCTTGTTCTGCACTCTGCAGTCAACATTTGTCCTCCATATAATCAATGCTTTGACCTAGATTGATAGCTACATGGGTGAGGCACTGTCTTCTAAGTATCTTCAAAATATGCAACTGATTCATTCTGCTTTGGTATCAGCTCTTTCCTACTCTACAGAACTCGGAGCTGCTTATGATAAATAAGAAAGATAAGTACAAATTTCAAAACACGAATACATTTTTAGCAGTACAGTTTAAACACTAAATATGCTCTTTAAGAAAATCTTTACATACAATAACAGACTTGGAAGGGACTTTATAAGTCATCTATATTCTAGTCCACACCCAAAGCAGGAGGCCCTACACCATTTCTGACAGATGACAGTCCAGTCTCTTGAAAGCTTCCAGGGTTGAAGCTCCCACAACTTCCGAAGGCAACTTCTGTTCCATGGGTTGATTTTTCTCCCTGTCAGAAAATTTCTCCTTATTTCCAGGTTGAATCTCTCCTTGATCCGTTTCCATCCATTCTTTCTTCTCTGGCCTTCAGGTGCTTTGGAGAATAGCTTGGCTCTTCTCTGTGGCAGCCATTCAAATATTGGAAAACTGCTATCATTAGAGCAAGGTTCAAAAATTTTAACCCACGCTGCAGAAAACAGGCAAAAACAAAGTAGAGTGCTGCCAGTAGCCAAGACAGGAAACAATGAATTGGGAACTAAATCAAGGAGAGAAGCAACCTGGAATTAAGGAGAAACTTCCTAACAGTGAGGACAATTAACCAGTGGAACAGTTTGCCACTAGAAATTGTGGGGGCGCACCATAATTGGACCTTTTTAAGAAGAGACTGGACAGCCGCTTATCTAAAAAGGTATAGGCTCTCCTGCTTGAGCAGGGGGCTGGACTAGAAGACCTCCAAGGTCCCTTCCAGCTCTACTCTGATTAGCTGCCCAAGTGATCACTGTAATTCGTTTCTTTCCATTGGGCTCAGACCTTAATAAAAGGGATGGCGTCCATGCCAAGATGCGAGCACATTTTATTAGCACACAACGGGCCCAAAATAAAGCTGTAAATCAGAGGTCTTCAAACTTGGCACCTTTAAGACTTGTGGACTTCAACTCCCAGAATTCTCCAGCCAGCATAGCTGGTTATAGCATAGCATAGCTGGCTGGAGAATTCTGGGAGTTGAAGTCCACAAGTCTTAAAGCTGCCAAGTTTGGGGACCCCTGCTGTAAATATTTAAACAATCGAATTAAGTATGCACAATATTGTTTTAAGTATTTTCACAACACACACACACAAATCACAGACGCGGAGAACCACTCCCACCTCACCTATGCAAAGGTGAGTCGGGAAGCCCTGCCCCTTCCGTATATTTGATTGGCCTTTCCTAGGAGACCGGAGAAGCACCGCCCCTTCCCCCTCTCCCTTCCTGCCGATTGGCTCCCTGCTCAAGCTTGCGTTACCGGAAGCGGCCGTTGCCCGGACGACGGGAGGAGTGTGGCGGGGGGAAAGAGCCGCGGCCCTTTTAACGGACTCTATGGCGGCAGCGGTGGCGCCGCGGCGGCCTTGGCTTCTGCTTTGATCCCGGTGAGCAGCGCGGAGAACCGGGCAGAGAGGGGGCCTCTTTGGGGGTTGGGGTTGGGGGCTGTCGCTGTTGGAAAGAGGGAGGGGGAGTTCGCCGTCCCGCTCGGTCCACTGTGTGGCCGCAGGTAGACTGCGCTTGGAGCAGGAGGCTCCATCTCCTGAGTCAACGGGCGCGCATCGATTGGGGGGCGGGGGGCGATCGGTGCCTTTTTTTTTCCCCGAGGGCCCCCCCCCCCTTTCAGTGAAATCGGTTTTAAATCTCTGGGCGGCCTAAATTAAATTATATTTCTTTTTTTAAAAATATTTTTTATTAATTTTAAAATTAGATTATATTTTTTTTAAAAAATTTTTTTTATTAATTTTAAAATTAGATTATATTTCTTTTTTTAAAAAAATATTCATTAATTTTAAAATTAGATTATATTTCTTTTTTAAAAAATATTTTTTATTAATTTTAAAATTAAATTATATTTCACACACACACACACACACACACCAAAAAATAAAGCCCGGAGGCTTCGTTTGTTTCTAGTTATTTCTATTAATTTAACAACGTTTCAAAGCTGCCCCCCAGGCCTAAAAGCGTTTATTCACTTAAAGGTTTGTTTATTTGTTTATTTAATCATGTAGCAGCCTTTCAAAGGCCTGGAGGGCTTATTGATTCTGCTTGATAGTTTCTATCTATTTTATTCATTTGCTTAGCAGCATGTCAAGGTAGCCCCAGGCTGAAGAAGCTATGCATTTCATTTATAATTTTCCTTTTTTTTTTTTTAAATTTAGCAGCATTTTTATTTAGCAGCATTTCAAAGCCTCTCCAAGCCTAAAGGAAATAGTTATTTAATTCTAACTTAATTAGATGAATTGATGGAGCAGCATTGCAAAATTAGCCTGAGCCTAAGGGATTCTGAATTGACTTTTATAGCCGAGGCCTTCCTGACATTTCTTTTATGTCTCTCCTCCTCCTCTGCTGATAGAAAGCTCCCCCCCCAAAGTAATATAATTATTGATAAAGGGATCCCTGTTGAGTCAGTCTGGATGCCCTCCAAATGGGTGGACTTCATCTCCCAGAATTCCCCATGCTCGTTGCTCCAGTGGTGAAATCCAATTTTTTTTTACTACTGTGGTTCTGTGGGCTTGGTGGGCGTGGTGTGGCTTGGTGGGCATGGCAGGGGAAGGATACTGCAAAATCCCCATTCCCTCCCCAATCCTGGGGGAAGGATACTGTAAAATCTCCATTCCTCCCCACCCTGGGGCCAGCCAGAGATGGTATTTGCCGGTTCTTTGAACTACTCAAAATTTCTGCTACCGGTTCGCCAGAACCTGCTGGATTTCACCCCTGCATTGCTCTCATTAGTGGTATGCTGCCTTTGGTGAGATGGGCAACTATATAAATTTTATAAACTCTGGAGCTCTTGCATTGCTCAGCCCAATGGCACCTCCCCCCCAATTCATGTCTATGGCAATTCCGTAAAACGTTTCCAAAGGAGCAAAATTAACATCCTGTAAAGATTAAATAAGATGAGCAGATCTGAACTGTGTAAATATAGGTAGTTCTTGACTTACGACTTTTTAATGCTTTAACAAAGAGGAGAGGGTCAACTTATTTTCCAAGGCACCAGAGGGAAGGACAAGAAGCAACGGATGGGAAAGTAACCAAGGAGAGAAGCAACCTGGAATTAAGGAGAAACTTCCTAACAGGGAGGACAGTTAACCAGTGGAACAGCTTGCCACCAGAAGTTATGGGTGCTCCATCACTCGAGATTTTTAAGAAGAGACTGGACAGTCACTTGTCTGAAATACTATAGGGTCTCCTGCTTGAACGGGGCTAGACTAGAAGACCTCCAAGATCCCTTCCCTCTGTTATTCTCACTTGCCCTTGATTTTATCTACCAGATGATATGAATACTCTTCCCCGTGGCTCTATAAAAGGTTCCATGGCCCTTCCTTCCCCAGATGGAATAGGCCACCCTAGACCGGGACACAGAAATAATGAATTTCTGCCACCTTTATCAGCCTAATATAAGGAATGAATCTGGTTATCACTCCTGTTCGGTTGCATTCACTCCATGCCTTCCTGAGCATTAGAAAGTGCTTAGAAGAGTGGGAGACCCAACAAACGTCTTCATTTCTCCAAGGTCCCTTCCAGCTCTTATTTTGATTGCCAGTCAGAAATATTTGATTTGATTTTAATGAAAAGAAGGACTAGGGGGTGACATGATAGCAGTGTTCCCAATATTTGAGGGGCTGCCCCAAAGAAGAGGGAGTCAAGCTATTCTCCAAAGCACCTGAAGGCAGGATAAGAAGCAAAGGATGGAAACTAATCCAGGAGAGAAGCAACCTAGAACTAAGAGGAAATTTCCTGACAGTGAGAATAATTAGTGGAACAGCTTGCCTCTAGAACAGTGTTTCTCAACCTTGGAAGCTTGAAGATGGGTGGACTTCAACTCCCAGAATCCCCCAGCCAGCGCTGCTGGCTGGGGGATTCTGGGAGTTGAAGTCCACCCATCTTCAAGCTACCAAGCTGGAGAAACTCTGTTCTAGAAGGTGTGGCTGCTCTGTTACTGGAGGCTTTTAAGAAGAGATCGGACAAATCCAAGAGATTGGATTCGTCTGAAATGGTATTGGGTTTCCTGCTAGAGCAAAGGATTGATTAGAAGACCTCCAAGGTCCCTTTTCAACTCTTGTTATTCTGTTATGACTACAATTGAGACCAGAAGTTCCATAGCTAAGTGATGCAATTGTGAATTTTACAACCTTTTCTGCTGCAGTTGTTAAGTGAATTTGCTTTTCCCCGTTGACTTTGCTTATTAGAAGGCCCCTGTTTTTATTTTTTTCTACTCTGGGCAACTCACAGAATAATAATATCAAAAAAAAAACTATTAAAAACTGTGTAACAAAACCTCCCAGCATTCCAAAGGCAATATACTTCACTTTTAACTACACTGAGTTCCAGACTAATTCTACCCCAACCCTTGCAGGAACAGCCAGATCTCGGGAGAAAGGATATTCCACAGAGCAGGGGATTTTGTAGAAAGAACGCAGTAAGATAATATGACCGCAGTTTTCCATTCTTCTGAACTATCTTCTAAATAGACTTATTTAAAAATCTAAGAATTGCCTGAAGAGTCACAAAACCATGTTAAATACCGTCAGAACCTCACACAAAGCGAACCCCGTTCTCTTAAATAAAGTTAATAAGGTTTGGATTCTATTATGTACACCAGTTCTTAGATGAAGGTCTTGGCACAATTTACATCATATATCTTGAATGCTGTTTCCTGTTCTGAAGGATTATTTTTTTAATTCTGTTTTTGGTTTAATTTATATGGGTTTTATTGAAATTTTTTCCTCCCGTGTATTGATTGTTAACTGCCCAGAGTTAAGAATTTAAGACAGCAATAGCACTTAGTCTTATATACTGTTTCATAGTGCTTTCCAGCCCTCTCTAAGCGGTTTACAGAGTCAGTCTCTTGCCCCCAGTAATCTGGGTCCTCATTTTACCCTCCTCGGAAGGATGGAAGGTTGAGCCAACCTTGAGCCTGGTGAGATTCGATCTGCCAAACTGGTGGCAGCCGGCAGTCAACAGAAGTAGCCTGCAGTACTGCACCCTAGCCACCGCACCACCGCACCTCAGATGGGCAATTGTAGGCATTTTCTTGGTATCATCAAAGGCATCTCTGCCTTTCTTTGATCGATGTTTTTGACCAGCATCAACGTGCTCTCCTTCTCCCGTTAACTATTAAAAATCCAGTGGTGAAACCCGGACAGATCTATACGGCTCGTGCAAACCGGTAGCACTGGTGGAGGGAGGCTCTACCCACCTGCCCACCAGGACGTCATTACGTCCCATTTTTTACCCTCTGCACATGCGCAGAAGGCTCTACACATGCCCCAAAGAGGTGTGCCTGCGCATTCCCATTTCCAACCCGGTACCAAAGGTAAGTGGATTTCACCACTGTAAAAATCCTCCATGATGAACGATTAAGATGAAAAGCTTCCTGATGAAAGATGAAAGCTATTTTCATTTAGAACAGGCATCCCCAACTGGCTGTTGCAAAGAATCCAAATCCTGAGAATTTAAGTCCACTCATATGGGAAATATATCGGGGGTGTCCGGGATGTGCCCTGGGTTCTGAAAACGAGTCAACCATGTTCAAATCTTTCCTCCATAAACACAGGTAGCAAAGCAAGAATGGAGACTTTAGAAGAAGAAAATTTTGGCGTATCCATGTAAGTCTGTTTGTACTTCCGCAAGGCATGCAATTTCATTGGGAATATAAGGAAACCAACAAGCTGGATTTTTGGGGGTGGCAACTCAGCCTTGTGATCTATAAGGCCTCGAGAGGATGGGATGAAAATTCTGGTTCTTTTTTTGAAGTGGTTAAGGGTGCAAGAGGGAAGGTTGAGCCTCTGGGAACCTGAAACAACCAATTGCGGCAAATTTTGGAGTGAGGGATGTAGATGAAACAGAAGGCTTCCCAAGATATTTTCACTAGTAAGAGGGCAGAGAATAGCAACAAAAATGATAAAGGTTCTAGAGGCAAAATCATATGATCATGGTTGAGGGAGCTTGGGTATGTCTTAACCTAACAGAGAGAGGGATTGGGGGTGTGTGTGACATAACTGTCTTCCAGTACTTGAGGAGCTATCCCAAAGAAGGGAGGATTGACTTACTGTCTAAGACACCAGAGGGCCCGACAAGGAATAACAGGAGAAAGATCATTAAAAAGAAGTCCAACCTAGAACTAAGGAGAAATTTGAGAGTGAGAACAATTAATCAGTGGAATGTCTTCCCTCCAGAAGCTGTGGGTGCTCCCATCACTGGAGGTATTTTAAGAAGAGATTGGACAGCCTATATCCTTCAATTCCTGCCAAATATTAATTTTAAAAAAACCTTGAAAGGTCACAAAATGATAGAACTAGAGTAGAGGTCTTCAAACTTGGCCGCTTTAAGACTTGTGGACTTCAATTCCCACAATTCTCATGAAAAATCCCACAAAAAGCTTTGCTGGCTGGAGAATTGTGGGAGTTGAAGTCCACAAGTCTTAAAGCGGCCAACTTTGAAGTGCTCTGACCTAGAGACTGCTAACAGAAACCTGGATTAATTAATGTAATTCTTAAATCAATTCCATGTCAGCCCCTTTGACATAATGTGCATTTCACCTTCCCTGGTAACTGAAATCTAAATGGCTCGTGTCTCTATTTCAGCTCATCGCCCTCTGATGCGGAATTCGATGCTATTGTAGGATATTTGGAAGATATTGTAATGGGTGAGTTCTGCTTTGATAGTCAATACTGCCCCCCAGAGGCCTCCCTCAGTACTCCAGCCTCACAAAGAACAGCTTGTATTTGATTGATAGGCCTAATATATATACCGTATTTTCCGGCGTATAAGACGACTTTTTAACACATGAAAATCTTCTCAAAAGTCGGGGGTCGTCTTATACGCCGGGTATCGTTCTCCTGTAACCAGGCAGACCAGCCCGAAAGGCTCTGACGAGCCTTAAATGGCTCTGGCGATCCCAGCTCTGACATCCCAGCTCTGACGATCCCAGCTGAGTTCCTGCAACTCAGCTGGGATCGCCAGAAACCATGTAAAAGGAAAAAAGTTTTTTCCCTTTTACTCTGAGGATCCCAGCTCTGACGATCCCAGCTGAGTTTATTTATTTATTTATTTATTTATTAAATTTATATACCGCCCTATTCCTAAGGGACTCAGGGCGGTGAACAATAAAAATGAACGATAAAAATACATGTAATACAAACGTTAATAATTAAAAAAAACAATTAAAATATACTAAACATTCTGGTCCTAGATAATTCAAGACATCCCAGTTTAAAATAAAATCAAAAAGCAATATAAAGGGAAAGTTAGGCCAGGCCGGCCTGCTGAAACAGGAATGTTTTGAGGGCACGGCGGAAAGTGCGCAGATCCGGAATCTTCTGTATCTCTGGGGGGAGCTCGTTCCAGATGGTGGGTGCCCCCACAGAAAAGGCTCTCCCCCTGGGGGCCGCCAGTTGACATTGTTTGGCTGACGGCACCCTGAGAAGCCCCTCTCTATGGGAGCGTACTGGGCGGTGAGAGGCTATTGGTGGCAGAAGGCGGTCTCGTAAGTACCTGAGTTCCCTGCAACTCAGCTGGGATGGCCAGAGCCATGTAAAAAGGAAAAAGTTTTCCCCCTCCAGCTTGCTTACCTCAGCTGCTAGTCGCAACGCTTGCCTTGCTTTGCTTGCCTGAATCTATTCAGGCAAGCAAGCAACTCCCTGCCTGCAATCAAGCAAGGAGGGAGTTGTGGACTTCAACTCCCAGAATTCCTCAGCCAGCAAAGCAAAGCTGGCTGAGGAATTCTGGGAGTTGAAGTCTACAAGTCTTAAAGTTGCCAAGGTTGGAGACCCCTGTTCTATTGGGTAAGTTTTTTTCCCCTTTGGGAGCTTTAAAAAAAATAGTCAATTGGGGTTTTTTTAGTTGTTCTTTTTTAGACCTAGCCATTTAAAGTTTAGGAAGTTTTAAATTTAGCTTTCATATAAAAATAAAATAAAATAAAATAATATTTGTGCAGCTTTCTGAGATTTAGTGTGTTTCTGTAGTATTTCACTCCAACTACACAAACACACAAAATCTCACAAAGCTGTATGTGGAATTTTGTGTGTGTAAAGTGTGAAAGTTGGTTTTTTGGACTTTTTGTGGCTGTGTGAGGTTCCTGCTTGTTGCAGGGGCCATTTTGGGTCTAGCACAGCTGCTTTTACATTGTGGGTGAGCCAGTTGTGTTGTGTTGTGTGTGTTTAGAGTGTGAAAGTTTTTTGGGGGGGCTTTTTGTGGCTGTGTGAGGTTCCTGTTTGTTGCAGGGGCCATTTTGGGTCTAGCACAGCTGCTTTTACATTGTAGGTGAGCCAGTTGATGTTTTTTAATTTTTATTTGGTGTGCATTGGAAGAGGGGCAGTCTTATATGGCGAGTATAGCCCAAACCCTATATTTTAACAGGAAAAGTTGGGGGTCGTCTTATACGCCCAGTCGTCTTATACGCCAGAAAATACGGTATATATATATATATTCCCTAATCTCACAGTCGTAAATGTAGTCTGTCCAGTTCACCAGGAAGACAGCAAGCATGAGGAGGAGGAGGAGGCAGCCAAGTCAAACATCGGTACGCTTCTTGTACCAAGCCATTATCATGCTTGAGTGATGTTGCTGCAGCAGATACTCCAAGCAAGGCTATTTTCTGCATAAAATGCGCCTTGCCCTAATCTGAACATGACTAGCTCTGAGAAGACCTGACTTCTCTCAGAAGCTTTGCCCCTCAGTAATCCCAAATTTCTGAGGATAATTGTGATCGATGTTTCTGTGCCTCTTTTGACTCTTCTACCCTCAGCTCCTTCTGAGGATACATGAAGCTTCTGATCTAGGCCAAAGCCTGCTAGATGGAGTGGTCGTCTATTTTTGACCTGGTTTATAAATATTGCTTCTGTCCCGGGATCAGAAGCTTCTGCTGAATCCATCACTGTTGCCAGAATGATGAGAGGATGTCCAGAGACATTCGTCGTCTTCTGGCCCTGCTCTTCTGCTAAGGAAGACACTTGAAGCCTGATCTTTGCCAGACAGCTGGTTAAACCTACTAGTTCCAAGTTCATGGAAGATTTTAAACGCATCTTCAGTGTCACTCATTTTAATGTCTGCTAGACTGATTTGATCTGTGTTTTGTCGTTGCACATACTATCTGCAACAGGGCTCTTCAAACTACATGCCAAACTTGATGGGATTCCATGATCAGGCAAACATTTGGAATGATCAGTCTGCTTAATGTCAATTTGCTCTTCCTGTATAAACCACCATGTTAATCATGATAAAGGGAACACTGTTGTAGGCCTGTCAAATTCTCTAGGGTAGGGGTGTCAAACTCTATTTCATTTTTTTAAAGTTTTTATTTTACATACAAACAAACACTTAATACATCAGTCAATCCTTTCGTGTGTCATCTCGGTGTTTCTTTAATGGCTTCATCTTGTTATTTCTTCTTTCTTCATTTTCTCTTAATCTATTACAGCCTCTCTTCAAAAATACAATGTTTTAATTATACCATTCTCTTGCATAACTATTAATTTGTTTATCTACATCTCTTATCTAGCCAATCGTAAATTTGACCCCATATCTTAAAATATTCTGAATCCTCTCTTTCTTTAATTTTCAAAGTTATCTATTCATTTCTGCACAGTCTAAAATTTTCTTAATTACTTCCTCTTCCAGAGGTATTTTCTTTGCTTTCCAATTTTGCACAAATACAATCCTCGCTGCTGTTATTACATGAATAATCAAGTATATCTTTTCTTTACTAATTTTCTCTGGAAGGATACCCAATAGGAACAGCTCCGGTTTTAAATCAATATATCATTTCTTCTAGCCATATCTTTAATTTGACCCAAACTCGATTTCATTGAGGGCCGCATCAGGGTTGTGTTTGACCTTGGGAGGCCGGGGAGGAGGGCACGGCCAGCTCAACGTCACTCATGTTGGGGGCGCCTATGGCGGCCCGAGTGCTCTGCCAGGGAAAACGGGCCCCTGAGTTCCGTTTGCAGCTGCGACGGCCTCCTGCAACCCTCTGCCAGCAAAAACGGAGTTTGGGAGAGCTGCACACAACCCTCCCGACCTCCGTTTTCACTGGCAGAGGCACCGCTGGCCGGTTCTTCGCTGTTTCCAGCGCGGCCCCCGCGGGCCAGATCTAAGCACCCCACAGGCTGAATTCGGCCTTGAGCTTGACACCTCTGCTCTAGGGAATAGATGTCCCTTTTTCAAGGAGTCTTCCAAAAGACTTTTAGGAGATTTGCTTCCAAGAACTCTGGTCCTACAAGAGCCATCCTAGCTAGCAAAAAGATAGAAGCTGTTGCATAGATCGTGCCCCCCCCTCTCCCCCACAAGTTGCAGCTGTGCTGTTGTCATGCCTGAGCCAGAGCACAATGTGCTGGATTGCAAGTTGAGTGTAGCGGGCCCGAAGAATGGAGTCACTGTCTTTCAGCTAAATAGCCGCCCTCTTTAGCAGCTGTTTTGTGATTTCAGACGATGACTTCCAGCTAATACAAAGAAACTTCATGGATAAATACTACCGAGAGTTCGACGACACAGAGGAGAATAAACTGGTCTATACACCTATCTTTAATGAATATGTAAGTTTGTTGTGGTCTTTTTGGTCCGTACAGATAAGATTTTTTTATCCCCCCTAAAGGCTGAATTGGTGTTTGGCTCATTTATAAAGATGCTAAAGAGTTTGAACTGGGCAAGAATGTGTATTCTGGCGTCACTCACATACAGAGAAATTGTATGACTTGGTAGAACAGAGTTCCCCAACCTTATCGGCTTTGCTGGCTGGCAGGTGGAAGAGAGGAGATGGTTCTGTGCGTGTAGCAGGCGAGTATGCACGCAGCTCAATTTGCGTGAGTGGCAGGCACATGTGGTCCATGCCCGTGTGAGTAGGGATATGTGCCCATGCTTACCCACCACTTCCGTGACCCAGTTCCAAAAGGCTTGAGAGACAGTAGTGGGCTGCGGCCCAAGGTTTGGGGACTTCTGTGGCAGAACATCCAGGAAGCCCTGCAGCTGATTGGCAGGGGTCGCCTCATCACCTGCCCTGTCACTTCACCCCACATGGCCCGTTAGAGGGTGCTCAGCTGTACATCATAAATAATAAATAAATAAATAACTTTATTGTCATTGTACATGTATACACAGTATACCCATACAACGAAATTCACTTAACACCCAAAGACCAGGTCCAACACACAACAATCGCCAAACACACTCCCATCCACCACAATTCTCCACCCCTAAACCATCCAAACATCCACACAACAGACCAAGTCATGCTGTCCAACAGCTCACCGATGGTGGCCCTTCAGTTCATTGTTGAGTGCAATTATAGCTCTGGGATAAAAACTATTCAGTCCGAGTTTTAATTGTTCTGTATCTTCTGCCAGAAGGCAACGGTCCAAAAAGATTGTAAGCAGGATGGGAAGAGTCTCTGAGAATGTTATGCAACTTCCTCAAACAGCGAGATTCGAAAATGTTGTCCAGGGCTGGTAGCTGGCGTCCAGTGATATTCTGGGCAGTTTTAACGATTCTCTGTAGAGCTTTTTTGTCCGCTGCAGAACTTCTCCCATACAATGCAAGAATGCCGTATGTCAGGACACTCTCAATGGTGCTGCGATAGTAGGACAGAAGTAGATTTATCTTCCTGAGCATTTTCAGGAAGTACAGCCTCTTCTGTGCCTTCTTCACAAGCATGTTAGCATTCATAGTCCATGTGAGGTCCTCCGAGATATAAATGCCCAGAAATTTAAAACTACCCACCCTCTCCACCTCCTCACCATTTATGTACAATGGTAGATGTACATCTCTCTTCCTCCTGAAGAATTATAAGTTCTTTAATTTTTTTGTGTGAACTCTGTAAGCCAGCATGAAGAAATATCAATAGCACTTAGACTTATTTACCGCTTCACAGTGTTTACAGGCCTTCTAAGCGGTTCACAGCATAAGCATATTGCCCTCAACAGTTTGGCACCTCATTTTACCGACCTCAGAAGGAAGGATGGAAGGCTGAGTCAACCTTGAGCCAGTCAGAATTCAACACCTGGCTGTGGGCAGAGTCAGCCTTCCATCCTTCTTTCCTGCCAGATATGCATTTGCTTCCAAGAACTCTGGTCCTACAAGAGCCATCCTAGCTAGCAAAAAAATGGAAGCGGTTGCAAAAGCTCTTCGGCTTTGAAACGGGGATGAACACCGCCCCCTAGAGTCGGGAACGACTAGCACATATGTGCGAGGGGAACCTTTACCTTTACTTATGTGTTCTTAATTGTTGAGTCGTTGAAAAAGAAAGTGCATTAAATGTAGCATCCTAATTATCAGATAACTGTACCTTCATTAGCAAATTCAGCAAGCAGAAGGTTAATTTTTGCCACAGGTCCATTAAAACATTCAGCCATAAGAGATACTGTAAATCAGAAGTGGTCCTTCTGAATTATCCCAGGGGTTACCTTTAGCTTCGGAATGGTAGCCTGTTGGGTTATCATTCTGAGAATTGAAGTCCAGGTATTTTCAAGTGGCCAGAGTTGAGAAACACTCTTTTAATTATTTTAACCTGGTTTACGGCTGCCAGGTGTGCATGCCATTCACAATTGGAAGGGCATCAGAGGTGGGTTTCACCAGGTTCTGATCAGTTCTGGGGAATCGGTAGCGGAAATTTTGAGTAGTTCAGAGAATCAGTAGTAAAAATTCTGACTGGCTCCACCCCATCTATTCTCTGCCTCCCGAGTCCCATCTGATCGGGAGGAAATGGGAATTTTGCAGTATCCTTCCGCTGGAGTGGGGAGGGAATGGGGATTTTGCAGTATCCTTCCGCTGGAGTGGGGAGGGAATGGGGATTTTGCAATATCCTTTCCCTGGAGTGGGGAGGGAATGGGGATTTTGCAATATACTTTCCCTGGAGTGGGGAGGGAATGGGGATTTTGCAGTATCCTTTCGCTGGAGTGGGGAGGGAATGGAGATTTTGCAATATCCTTACCCCAGGAGTGGGAAGGGAATGGGGATTTTGGAATATCCTTCCCCCGGAGTGGGGAGGGAATGGGGATTTTGCAGTATCCTTCCCCCGGAGTGGGAACGGAATGGGGATTTTGCAGTATCCTTCCCCTGGAGTAGGGAGGGAATGGAGATTTTACAGTATCCCTCCCCTGCCACGCCCACCAAGTCACGCCCACAGAACCAGTAGTAAAAAAAATTGAAACCTACCCCTGAACGGCATGTAAAGGCAAGAAGAAGCAAATAAATAAAACCTTCTCATTTTAGATCTGCTTAGTTGAAAAATACATCGAAGCGAAACTCTTGGACAGGATTCCTGGTTTCAACATGTCCGCCTTCACCTTGTCTTTACAGTAAGTCAGTTTTCTGTCTCGTTTTTTTTGTGTGTGTGTGTTTAAAGTTGGTTGAATTCTTTCTGTTCTGATGTCTTCCTCTGTTTTTCCTCCGTTGAGGTCGTCCTCAACGTACGACCACAATTGAGCCCAAAATTTATGATGCTAAGTGAGAAATTCGTTAATGAGTTTTGCCCCCATTTTAAGACTTTTCTTGCCACATTTGTTAGGTGCCATTGTTAAATTAGTTGTTAAATGAATTTGGTTTCCCCATGGACTTTGCTTGCCAGAATATCACAAAACGGTGATCCCACATGACCTCCCAGGACACTGCAACCGTCATAAATGTGAGACAGTTGTCAATCATCAGAATTCAAATCACGGGACTATGGGGATGCTTCAACCGTCATAAGTGTGAAAAGTCACTTTTTTCAGTGCTGTTGTAACTTTAAACAGTCACTGAGCGAACTGTTGTAAGTGGAGGACTCCCTGTAATTTTTTTCTCTCCCCTTTTGAATCTTGGGCAAGTGAGCTGCTGCCATTGGGTTTCATGCACATGGACCTGGGTGTATTCTTGGGGTGCCACCAGTGGTGGGTTTCAAATTTTTTTACTACCGGTTCTGTGGGTGTGGCTTGGGCGTGGCAGGGGAAGGATACTGTAAAACCTCCATTCCCTCCCCACTCCAGGGGAAGGATACTGCAAAAATCCCCATTCCCTCCCCACTCCAGGGGAAGGATACTACAAAAATCCCTATTCCCTCTCCACTCCTGGGGGAAGGATATTGCAAAATCCCCATTTCCTCCCCACTCCAGCGGAAGGATACTGCAAAATCCCCATTCCTTTCCAACTCCAGGGGAAGGATAATGTAAAATCTCCATTCCCTCTCCACTCCAGGGAAAGGATACTGCAAAATCCCCATTCCCTCTCCACTCCTGGGGGAAGGATACTGCAAAATCCCCATTCCCTCCCCATTCCAGGGGAAGGATACTGCAAAATCCCCATTCCCTCCCCACTCCAGCGAAAGGATACTGTAAAATCTCCATTCCTTTCCAACTTCAGGGGAAGGATACTGTAAAATCTCCATTCCCTCTCCACTCCAGGGGAAGGACACTGCAAAATCCCCATTCCCACCCCACTCCAGGAGAAGGTTTTTGCAAAATCCCCATTCCCTCTCCACTCCAGGGGAAGGATACTGTAAAATCCCCATTCTCTCCCCACTCCAGGGGAAGGATACTGCAAAATTCCCATTCCCTCCCCACTCCAGAGGAAGGATATTGCAAAATCCCCATTCCCTCCCCACTCCAAGGGAAGGATACTGTAAAATCCCCATTTCCTCCCGATCAGCTGGAACTTGGGAGGCAGAGAATAGATGTGGATGGGGCCAGCCAGAATTTTTACTACCGGTTCTCAGAACTACTCAAAATTTCTGCTACCTGTTCTCCAGAACTGATCAGAACCTGCTGAAACCCACCTCTGAGTGCCACCATATTTATACTTTAATTTCTTTTTTTTCCCATGTGGGGGCTCAGTGAAATAATAGCAAGATGAACCTGTTACAGACACAGGCACAAATGGATTAGAGGTAGTTCTCAACTTACAGTTTACAATGGTTTGTTTAATGACCATTTGGAAATTACAGCGGCACTGAAAAGAGTAACTTATGATTGTTTTTCACGCAATCATTGCAGCATCCCCATGTCACATGATCAAAATTCAGACGTTGGACAGCTAGCACATGTTTATGAGAGTTGCAGGGTCCCTGGGTCATGTGATACCCTTTTGCAACCCTCTGAGAAGCAATGTCAATAGGGAAACCAGATTCACTTAACGACTGTGGCAAGAAAGGTCACACTTAGATCCCTTCACAGTGCTTTACAGCCATCTCTGAGCGGTTTACAGAGTCAGCCTAGAAGAAAGGTGAAAGGAGATATACAAAAATGATCACCATGTCAGTTAATACTTAGTTTGTTTATTTTTTTCTTTTAATTTGATTTATATGCCGCCCTTCTCCAGAGACTCAGGGCGGCTTACAATGCGCTAAGCAATAGCCTTCATTCTTTTGTATGTTTTATACAAAGTCAGCTTATTGCCCCCACAAACTGGGTCCTCATTTCACCTACCTTAGAAAGGATGGAAGGCTGAGTCAACCTTGAGCCTGGTGAGATTCGAACCTGCAGTAATTGCAGGCAGCCGGTCTTAATAACAGGGTGCTTTAGACCACTGTACTACCAAGGCTCTTGTAAAGTTGGGTAACCTTTAGCATGAATTACGGCCTTACAACGTCTGCCCATGGAGTGAACCAAGTCTTTGAGTTCTGCAGTTGTTATAATGTGAAGCCAAGATTGAATGATGGCTTCTATTAACTGGGTTTTATTGCTGGGTCGCTTCTGACTAACAAGTTTCTTTAGTCAGCTCCATAGATTTTCAATTGGGTTAAGGTCTCGGCTATTCCCAGGCTGTTCCAGAAGTGGAATAGGATTATTTTGAAACTCCAAAAAAAAGGGGGGGGGAGTTATTAGCCATGAAACCTCAAAAATACACTTTCCCCAAAAGATTTCTACAGTTTTGGCCACTCCTGTAATAGGTTTTTTTATTAAATTTTTTTATTAAATTTATTAAATAGTAAAACAATGGTAGAAGCATTTTGGAGAGAAGAAGCTGCAAGTCGGTGGGTGGGGAGAATTTGTAGCATCGAGAGACGCTCGATTCATTTCTTCCAACGTTCCCCAGACCCTTAGCAGGTGGCACCTGGCAGCAGGCTAGGGGCCTAATCCTTCCCTCTTTAAGTAGAGGATTGCATTTCCTAAGCCCCATATGGATTTGGGGATTGCCTGCCCCAGGAAGCCTGTCTACCTGCTACTACTTCAGAGAGACTCCCACGAGCAAGAGCTGCATTAAGGGATCAACCAAAGCAGTCATTTCTAATTTCACAACTCAGGATTGCTTGGCACCGAACGCAGCAATGAAAGAACCAATCTCGAGGCAGAATCCTTAAGCAGGAATTCTGTTTAATACAGAGATTCAAACTTAATGCAATTTGCCGATGGCTTTGGGATTACATTCTCCCTTGGAGAAGTGCAAAGAAAACAGGGCAGCCGTTCCTCTGATGATGACTGCTTGTCATCCCTTTTTAGATTAGATCAAAGCTAATGTCAGAGTTTTCATTTTGATTATGAAATTCCTTTTGTTTGCATTATTATTATTATTATTATTATTATTATTATTATTATTATCATTATTATCACTTTTATTCATTAAACATGAAATTCACTCAACTGAACATTCAAAAATGTGCCACAAATACCACTGACTGATGCTAATGGTTGCTACGTGTTGCTGCCAGCGTCCTAGTTATCAACTAAGTACCTTCTTAAGATGTGCGATGTTCCAAGTAGCGCAGTTTTTTGCAGTCCCACTGGTGTTATTGCAGGAAGCTACAATTTGTTCATGTTGTAGTTGTAGTTGTAGTTGTTGTTGTTGTTGTTATTATTATTATTATTATTATTATTATTATTATTATTATTTACTTTATTCATTAAACATGAAACTCAGTCAACTGAACATTCAAAAATGCATCACAAATCACTAGTCAATGGTATTTGTGATGCATTTTTGAATGTTCAGTTGAACATTAATTTGTTTTTTTGTGGGTGTGGCCTTTTTCCTTATTGTCTAATTCTTCATTATAGGAACGATGTAATTCTTAGGATTCTACAGTATAGTAATTCTTCAGGGATTATTGGAAATATCCTAAGTAACCCTGTCATTTTCTGCACAATCACATTTATGGAAGGGGCAGGAGGTAGTCGTTGCTTAAGAGCCTCCTGTTTAGCGATCATTCAAAGTTACAATGGCTCTGAAAAGATAATTTCATGACCGGTCCTCACACATATGACCATTGCAACATCCTGCAGTCATGTGATCACCACAATTGGCTTCCAAACGAGCAGAGCAAGTGGAGAAGCTGGCAGTGAAATCGCAAGTCATAGCCGTGTGCGTTTCACTTAACAACCGTGGCACTCCTCAACCAAGTTGCCAGTCCCAGCTGTGGCTGTTAAGCAAGGACTGCCTGTAGTGTTTTCCTCTTCACTTCTCCAGAACAGATGTTGTAATCCTTTACAATCTCAAATACCTTTTCCACATTAATCACCTATCTCTCACTTGCAGGCAGCACAAGGATGAAATAGCAGGAGACATTTTTGATATGCTTCTCACATTCACTGACTTTCTGGCATTTAAAGAGATGTTCCTGGATTACAGAGCTGTAAGTATTTCAAAACTGAGCTGGGGCTAGGGGGGGCGAGTGCTGAACACCAGTATGCTGGTCCCCTCGGACCTGGGGTCATGTTTGCCCATTAACAGTGGTTCTGCGGGGTCATAGGAAGAGAAGTGCCTCAGATAGAAAGTCCTTACAGAAAGTGGTAAGGACAATGAAGAAGATTATAGGAAGCTCGTTTCCTGTCATTCAGGATACTGCTTATAAGTGCTATTTGCTTAGAACTCGAAGCATTGTTAGAGACCCCACACGCCCACTTCACAGTCTGGGAGGAGATTTCCAAGTATTTCTAGCAGGACAACCAGATTTTGGAACAGCTTTATTCCCTCTGTCTGGTAACCTTGCAAGATTTGTTTTTCTCTCAATGTACAGTACACGTGTACATCAGAACTAGACCGTGTTGTTTCTCTGTGTCATATAATACATGTGGGTATGTGCATAATTTTGTATTTATTTGTTTTGTCATGTTTATTGTATATTGGAGGCGGTGACCCTTTGAGAGCTTCATGCCACGCAATTTCAGTTTAATGTATGCCGATTAGTGTACATTCCGAGTGACAGTCAAGTTATCATCCTATAAAGGAAAGAGTAGGCATCTGTGCAGGGGACCAGTGATCTCCTAGAATCCTCTCCAGCTCCCACCCCACCCCACCCAAGCAGTGTCCCACCACTAAAATCCTTGCTTTCCGTGGTTGTTAAAATATTCTACGTTTTTACCAGAGGTAAAAATCACATTGTATTGTGATTTCTACACCAAAGTTGGGGGGAAGTATAAAAGCCCAGTATTTGTAAATTGCTTTCCTTTTTCATCTGCCGGTCTTTTCTTTACAAATGCCCCCTGAACTGAAGTGTTGTTTTTGTGTCTCGCTCTAGGAGAAAGAAGGACGAGGCCTGGACCTCAGTGCCGGGTTGGTGGTCACCCCTTTAAGCAAGCCCTCCAGGTCACCCCCCCAGAACAGCCTGTGGCATTAGTGTTTGGCTCCAGAGGAGGCCTGTTGGGGTGCCTCCAATAGGAAAGAGAGGAATGAGGGAACTCAGCAAGCCTGATCTTCTCTTCGGCTCCTTCTATGGATGGTTCCACCACCACCACCGCCACTATCATCTCTCCATCAGAGCACTGGGACTCCTGCGATTCCCACCCAACCGGATTTTACATTGCGGAGATCAACGCGCAATCGTTTCTCTGAGGACATCCTAAGCTCCTTTCTTTCTTTTTTTTGGTGGGACAATGGTCATGGAAGACTAGTGTCGGGCGTGAGGGGGCCGTCTCTATAGCCCCCCCTGGCCTCGAGTTTCACAACCACAGGACCTCTGGCAAATTGTCTTTGTGTGCGGCTGTGAATGTGTGCGGCTGTGAACACGTTGACTTAACACAGGGGTCTCCAACCTTGGCAGCTTTAAGACTTGTGGACTTCAACTCCCAGAATTCCTCTTTGCTGGCTGAAGAATTCTGGGAGTTGAAGTCCACAAGTCTTAAAAGTTGCCAAGGTTGGAGACCCCTGGTTTAACAGGTAATACGCATTTGAGTGCTTTCTGTCAGTGTTCGATGCGATTTTTTAAAAAAATATATGTAGCATGAAAATGTTCTCTACGGATGGTGAACTTGAGTCCTTCTCCAGTCAACAGGCTTTTTCTCACCACTTTGTAGGGCTTTCACCCCTTTTACCTCAAGAGGGTCGTGATATTTTTCGAAACGTACATTTCATCTTTTCTAGGGAAACTACCACGCAGTGTCCATGCTATGACTTGTAGCTCGTAACATAAGGATATAGCCATGTCCTACAATGAACCTAGCTATTAGGACTTCTTGAGAACGTTTCTCGTTCCTTCAGTCAAATTCTTGTCCGCAAAGCCACGCCGCCCTCCGTATTGAGCCAAATGAAGTGCCAGTGATGTGCATTGTCCACTCATAGCTAGCTCCTCATCCACGTTCTCTTTGACCCCTGCCTAAGTTTGTCTTCCACCTGCTGGGAAGAATGGAGCAGTTATAGCCATCTTGAGTGCCATTAAGGAGGAGGACCAGCCATGATCAGTAGACAGATGTTCTTTACGCTCTCCCTTGCCAGGGGCCCGGGTATATTCACCTGCGGCTCCTCGATGGGGCCTGAGATGTTTTCTAGGTGCCCCTTGGGGGTAGGGAAGATCATCTTCCATACAGAAACAGGGACCCCCTTGCAGACAATGTTTTAAGACTGGAGAGAGTAAAGAGAACGTAGTGTTTCTAAATAAGCAATTACAATATTTACAGTTACTGCAGTGTTTTCCTTGTAAATTTCTTTTCTGTAACATCCTCGGCTTCTCATTGGAAGTTGGTCTCCAACTTCCAGCATTTTTGAGATCTTTATTCCGGAAGCCCGTTCTGCTTGGCGAAAGAAATTTATTCTTAATTTTTCAGCCAAGAGCATTTATTCTTTCAGATTCCCGCTCACGAAGTGTAAAAAGTAGTGGGCATTGTTACCAAGATTGAATTGTGCAGGTGATGCGTTATCAGACAGGCCTAGTCAAGCACGCTGGAAATTATCGATCAGTATTTACCTTGGCACTGTTGCCATTTTTTTTTCAAAAGCCCAGTCTCTCCATCAGTAACAATCGGTACTTGGCTAGCAAGGATAAGACTGCAGGATCCTATGCAGAATTTCTCTTTTTTTCATTTTGTCATAATTGCCAATTTTAATTGCGAAGGCACTAAGTTTCGGCATCCCAGAGCTGCATTGAGAAGAAAAATATTTGTTTTCCCTAGTTGAAATGGCATTTCAGGTATATTAGATCAGGGGTCTCCAACCTTGGCAACTTTAAGCCTGGAGGACTTCAACTCCCAGAATTCCCCAGCCAGCTTTGCTCCAGGCTTAAAGTTGCCAAGGTTGGAGATCCCTGGCTTAGATACCTGGATAACAGATGGGCTAGGATAAGAAGGAATTAGAAGTCAAGACAGCCAGGGACGCCAAGTCAGAAAGGCTGAGTTAAGTGTGCCGGATTCACAGCGCTACCTGTGTTTTTTTGAAGCTACTCCCTGTAGTACGCAATAGGCTTGGGAAGTCCTTGGAGCATTGCATAGAAAACGTTACGGAGGTAACATCTAGGAAACCTCTGCCTCTCAAGAGTCTCCTGGCAGCAGCCCCCATCGTGGTACGCGAACACCTCTCTTGTATTTCGCTTGCTTCGTGCTAATAATAAAATCTGCATGCTTGGTAAAAAGATACCCTGTGCAATGTGGCAAATAAATTATTCCGACAGGTTAAAGGTGATCCTCTGTATGCAGATAAAAAATGACAGGGGGGGGTTTATTGGAGGGGAAAAAATGAGCTTTTAAAGTCATTTATTCAATAGCTCTTGCCATTTGAAACGCCCTTCTCCTTCGTATCCCCTTCCCCAAATTCCTGATCTTAACCAATGAAGCATGTAAGTATGGGTCTCTTATATGGGTCTCTTATTTTCATTCTGCTCTGTGTTTTGACCCTGAAGTAGCTCTGAAACAGTCTCAGATTCTGCTGGCTGCTTAAATTGTCCAAGGTGAAGCAAGTAATGGATGGAAACTAACCAAGGAGAGAAGCAACCTGGAATCAAGGAGAAACTTCCTAACATTGAGGACAATTAACCAGTGGAACAAATTCCCTTCAGAAATTGTGGGTGCTCCATCCCTGGAGGTTTTTAAGAAGAGACTGGACAGCTATTGGTCTGAAATGGTATAGGGTGGCACGTGGAGCCATATCGGTGGGCATGTGAGCGTTGCCCTAGCTCAGCTCCAGCGTGCATGCGCGTGCCGGCCACCTGATTTTCCGGCCCACCGGAAGTCGGGAAACGGGCTGTTTCTGGTCTCCAGAGAGCCTCCAGTGGAGTGGGGAAGGCCATTTTCGTCCTCCCCAGGCTCCTAGAGAGGCTCTGGAGCCTGGGGAGGGCAAAAAAACAGGCCCACCATCCCATCACGTGCCAAAAGCGGGGGGAGCACGTGCATGTGCAGGGGATGGGGCACACTGAATTATGGGTGTGGGAACGCGCGTGTGTGATACACATACACCCGCCGCCACGCTCCCCCCACTTTTGGCAGACGGCAAAAAGGTTAACCATCACTGGTCCAAGGTCTCATGCTCGAGCAGGGGGTAGGACTAGAAGACCTCCAAGGTCCCTTCTAACTGAGTTGTTCTGTTAAAAGAGAAATCAGCCCTGCTGATGGGAGAGCAAAGCAGGCCTCCAAAAGGAGCCACAAACTCCTATACTCCTTTGCAGCTTGTTTGTTCTGTTTCCACAGCAGATGGTGGAGGTGGCTGCCGATATTCCCCTCGGACTTGAGGTGGAATTAATGTAGGAAAGAGTTGTGAGAGCCAGAGAGCAGGATCATAATTCAGCTTTCTGTGTGATTTTAAAGGTATCCTCCAGCCACCCAAAGGGTCTCGCTCCTGGCCCAGCAGTGGCTGGAAGGAAACGAATTATTTGGCACCCAGATACAAGATTCTTCAGGAAAGAATGACAAACTGCAATAAATAACTTTAATAGTTAAATCTCCTGGTATGCTTGAGGCTCATTAACTCTTTAGTTGCTGAGCCTCTAGTCTGCCTTCTGAAATTCTACCAGACTTCTGCTGTCCTTCCCTTTTATTTCTGCAGGTGGAAAAATTGAAAACGCTGTTTGTCTGGCTAGCCATGGAAGGAAAACAGATCTACTTCAGCTCTCTCATTTCATACTAAATCATTATCGCTAGTGTATCGAGTGTGTATATTTTACACACTCCTACCTTGGAAGCCTAGATCAGGGGTTTTGACCTTGTTGACTTTTAAGACCTGTGGACTTCCCACTCCCAGAATTTCCTAGCCAACGCTGGAATTCTGGGAGTTGAAGTCTACAAGTCTATCTTAGATCATGCCTGGCGCTATCTAGATCTTCAAAATCGAAAGGATAAACTTTTCCCACAGATTCTCTGGGCATCTTTTCCGAGCAAATTATGTTCTGAAGAAACCTCCTTTTTACAAATGAGAACAATGCAGAAGGTCTTTTAAAAATTTATTTAAAACAGGTGCATTTTTTTTTTAGAAATAAAACATTTGTTGGGTGTATACGCCAGAGGCATTTCTGCTACTATACTACGAAACAAAACGGAATTAATCGTTAAAACATTATTTACCGGTGCTAGCTGCAAGTGGTGAGCCTACGAGTTTCAGTTTGCTTAGTTCCGGTGAGAAATGCGTGGCCATCCCTAGAGACGTGCAATCTCTGGATTGCTTTGCATATCTTTTACTCCACTCCTCTGCAAACATTATAGCAAGGGGTGGGGTGGGGGTATCCAACCTTGGCAACTTTTAAGACCTGTGGACTTTCAACTCCCAGAAGTCTGTAATGCAAGAGTTTGAAGATCTGTGGATTTCAACTCCTAGAAGCAGGGATGTCCAACCTTGGCAATGTTAAAGACTTGTAGATTTTAATTCCTAGAAACTGTAGTGCAGAGATGTCCAACTGGGGCCATTTTAGGAGTTGCGTACTTTTTCACTCCCAGAATTCCCTAGCCAGCTGGCTGGGGAATTCTGGGAGTTGAAGTCCACAAGTCTTAACATCGCCAAGGTTGGAGACCCTTGCATTACAAGTGAGAACAGCCAAGTTAGCTTAAGTTAAGACAGCTGCTTCACGTGTGTCCCTGAAGAAGCCAATGGAGGCATGCCAATAACAGGCCTGAAGAATGCCCATTTAAACGAGAGTCTGCATAATTTCCACCCAGGGCTATTCTGGCTATGCTCTGAGAAGATCCCAATCAATATTAGTAATCCCAATTGTTAGCCAAGAGACATTAAAGGCTCTTTTGTGCCCTTCCACTCCACTAATGCTTAGCTAACACTGTCACATTCAGCTGTAATGCTCAACTAACATCATCTTTGCCAAGGGGGGGGTAAAGGTTGATAACCATTATTGTCATTTTTTTTATTGTGGGCATAATGGCACGTATTAAAAATGAGATTCCTTTCCTGCTGTCAAACATGCACACATACATAACACACATATAAGACATGCCATATACATACATATGTATAAAAGGAAGCAGACATACTGCAAACTCCGGAACTTAAAATTTTAAAATTTCAAAAGAATTAAAACTTTATTTTACTAAGCTTTCGTCAGCCATCGGCTGACATCGTCAGGGTATTAAACTCTGTCAGAGTATTAAACTCAAGAGTATTAGTAAAATAAAATTTTAATTCTTTTGAAATTTTAAAATCTTAAGTTCCGGAGTTCGCAGTATGTCTGCTTCCTTTTTTACTAATATACCTGGGACTCGTATTTTTAGAACAGTTTGTAATACATATGTATATACCTGCACCCATACATATAAATACATATAAATGTTAATCACTGAAAGTAGCATTTAGGCACATCGAAAGGTTTTAGCTCTGGGGTGAGGGACAAACCAGGAATCATGAAAACCAGCATGAGGCTGCCTATCTCATCCGGGCCTTAGCCACTCTGTCGAGGATGGCCGGTTAAGAGCACAGGAGAGGGAGGTGAGTCCTGTGATCGGAACAGCCCCTACTGAAGCTGGGACAGGACATCGTTTCCAGGCCAGGCCACGTACGTGTGGAAGAGCAGGGACAGAAGCTGCAAAAGCCATCACCTTGGACCCCCCCCTCCCCGTCGATTCAAAAGGAGGCACAGTTTCTTTAAGCATGATTGGAGATGCTCGCTTGGGTGGTGGCCGCGTTGCTCCCATAACCCCTCCAGGCTCGGATGCTGAAGCAGGAACTGATCCCGTAGCCGATCATCACCAGGCAGGCAAAGAACTGGGAAAGACAAAAGAGACGTAGGGATTAAAGTAGGCAACGGGAGAGGCGGCTGTAGGTCACCCTGGATGGGAAGTCTCAAGGGAGATTCTCAGTCTTCCAGGTCATGGTTGTGCTTTTTTTCAAGAGGCAAGTGGGCTTTCTTGTGAGTAGAGCAGAACAAAACAGAAGAGGAATAAGAAATAATAATAAGAAGAAATAGAATAAAAAATAGAATAGAAATAACAGCAGAATAGAGTAGAAGGGATAAAGGTATAGTATGGTATGGTATGGCATGGCATGGCATGGCATAGCACAGCACAGCACAGCACAGCACAGCACAGCATAGCATAGCATAGTATAGTATAGTTGTCAGGTTTCGATGTCGTCTCAAATAAAATAAATTGCATTTCCAAACAGATAGTCTTTGAAGAAATCTTTCATTTTATTAAGCACGACAACCTGTCCCTGATCGTGGCGTAGCCAACTCTGACTTCCTGACCCCAAACCTTCCCTTTCCGTTCCCCAATTCTCTGCATCTCATTGGCCTTCTTCCAAATCACTCTCCCCATATCTACTACTTAAGCTCCCAGGAATGTCCCCCCTCCCATCTCATCTCCTAGGGGATATTATCTTCAGGGAAAATAAGTAGGTGAGAAGTCAAGCGTCCTCTTGCCAGCTGCCCCCTCTTCTCCTCCTTATGTCAGCACTAGAGTAAATGCAGGTTGAAGTGCTGACAATAGTGTTCTGTCCTACCCACCTCACATAGGCAGACACACGAGCAAAAGACTTCTACAGTAATTTATTTCTACAAGCCGACCTGAATCCCTTTGGCAGCTGCAAATTCTGGCAGCTACTTTCCGAATGCCTGCCAAGTTTCTTATCACCTCTAGAAACAGGAGTCAGCGTATGTGTAGTCCGTTGCTGGGGCAACCAAGAGTTCAAAGAGTAGTCAGAAGTCATTCACAAAGTCCAAGCCTTAATTCTGAAAGATATCCCATCCGAAGCTCACGATATGCAGTTTTTGTCCGTCACAGAGCCTGCAGAGCAACCCCACCCACTTTTATCCCCTGTGGGGCGTGGCTCAGTGACTCAGCAATCTCTGGCCCTTCCCTGCCTCTTCCTTTGCTGCGCACGCCTCTCCCTCCGACACTGCCTGGGATCAATCCAAGATTGATCTTCATCACTCCCTATTAGTGGGTGCCCCGACATGCTTTCCTCCTGGCCTTCAGCTGGAACCTGAGGCATTGCCAGAAAGGAGGGTCCTGGAGAGGGAGGCCTTGTCAGTTCCTCCTCATCACTTTCAGAATCATCTTCCTCTGTGAGGACAGGCTTGGGAGCCGGAGTCACAACAGTATAGTATAGTATAGTATAGTATAGTATAGTATAGTATAGTATAGTACAGTACAGTACAGTACAGTACAGTACAGTACAGTACAGTACAGTATACCGTGTTTTCCCGAAAATAAGACCCTGTCTTATATTTTTCTGAACCCTGAAATAAGTGCTTGGCCTTATTGCCATGTGCTCAAAAGCCTAATTGGGCTTATTATCAGGGGATGTCTTATTTGGGGGGAAACAGGGTAGTGTAGTGTAGTGTAGTGTAGTGTAGTGTAGTGTAGTGTAGTGTAGTGTAGTGTAGTATAGTATAGTATAGTATAGTATAGTATAGTATAGTATACCGTGTTTTCCTGAAAATAAGACCCTGTCTTATATTTTTTGAGCCTGAAATAAGTGCTTAGCCTTATTTTCAGGGAGGTCTTATTATTTTGGGGTGCGTGGAGCAAGTCGGGGCTCCTCTTGCCATCTTACCTGATTTCCAGGTCTGTGTTTAAATATTTTCGGGAAGGGCTTATTTTCGGAGAAACAGGGTAGAAAGAATAGAATAGAATAGAATAGAATAGAATAGAATAGAATAGAATAGAAGAAATGAAGAATAGAATAGAATAGAATATTGGAATGGAATGGAATGGAATGGAATGGAATGGAATGGAATGGAATAGAATAGAATAGAATAGAATAGAATAGAATAGAATAGAATAGAATAGAGAAATGAAGAATAGAATAGAACAGAGAAATTGGAATGGAATGGAATGGAATAGAATAGAATAGAATAGAATAGAATAGAATAGAATAGAATAGAATAGAATAGAATAGAATAGAATAGAGAAATGAAGAATAGAATAGAACAGAGAAATTGGAATGGAATGGAATGGAATGGAATGGAATGGAATAGAATAGAATAGAATAGAATAGAATGGAATAGAATAGAATAGAATAGAATAGAAAATGAAGAATAGAATAGAATAGAATATTGGAATGGAATGGAATGGAATGGAATGGAATAGAATAGAATAGAATAGAATAGAATAGAATAGAATAGAATAGAATAGAATAGAGAAATGAAGAATAGAATAGAATAGAGAAATGAAGAATAGAATAGAATAGAATATTGGAATGGAATGGAATGGAATGGAATGGAATGGAATAGAATAGAATAGAATAGAATAGAATAGAATAGAATAGAATAGAATAGAGAAATGAAGAATAGAATAGAATAGAATATTGGAATGGAATGGAATGGAATGGAATGGAATGGAATGGAATAGAATAGAATAGAATAGAATAGAATAGAATAGAATAGAATAGAATAGAATAGAATAGAGAAATGAAGAATAGAATAGAACAGAGAAATTGGAATGGAATGGAATGGAATGGAATAGAATAGAATAGAATAGAATAGAATAGAATAGAATAGAATAGAATAGAATAGAATAGAATAGAGAAATGAAGAATAGAATAGAACAGAGAAATTGGAATGGAATGGAATGGAATGGAATGGAATGGAATAGAATAGAATAGAATAGAATAGAATGGAATAGAATAGAATAGAATAGAATAGAGAAATGAAGAATAGAATAGAATAGAATATTGGAATGGAATGGAATGGAATGGAATGGAATAGAATAGAATAGAATAGAATAGAATAGAATAGAATAGAATAGAATAGAATAGAGAAATGAAGAATAGAATAGAATAGAGAAATGAAGAATAGAATAGAATAGAATATTGGAATGGAATGGAATGGAATGGAATGGAATGGAATAGAATAGAATAGAATAGAATAGAATAGAATAGAATAGAATAGAATAGAATAGAATAGAATAGAGAAATGAAGAATAGAATAGAATAGAGAAATGAAGAATAGAATAGAATAGAGTATTGGAATGGAATGGAATGGAATGGAATGGAATAGAATAGAATAGAATAGAATAGAATAGAATAGAATAGAATAGAATAGAATAGAGAAATGAAGAATAGAATAGAATAGAATATTGGAATGGAATGGAATGGAATGGAATGGAATGGAATAGAATAGAATAGAATAGAATAGAATAGAATAGAATAGAATAGAATAGAATAGAGAAATGAAGAATAGAATAGAACAGAGAAATTGGAATGGAATGGAATGGAATAGAATAGAATAGATAGAATAGAATAGAATAGAATAGAATAGAATAGAATAGAATAGAGAAATGAAGAATAGAATAGAATAGAATATTGGAATGGAATGGAATGGAATGGAATGAATAGAATAGAATAGAATAGAATAGAATAGAATAGAATAGAATAGAATAGAATAGAGAAATGAAGAATAGAATAGAATAGAGAAATGAAGAATAGAATAGAATAGAATATTGGAATGGAATGGAATGGAATGGAATAGAATAGAATAGAATAGAATAGAATAAATAGAATAGAATAGAGAAATGAAGAATAGAATAGAATAGAATATTGGAATGGAATGGAATGGAATGGAATGGAATAGGATAGGATAGAATGGAATGGAATAGAATAGAATAGAATAGAATAGAATAAATAGAATAGAATAGAATAGAATAGAATAGAATAGAATAGAATAGAATAGAATAGAATAGACAAATGAAGAATAGAATAGAATATTGGAATGGAATGGAATAGGAAGGATAGGATAGGATGGGATGGCTGGGATGGATGGGATGGGATGGGATGGAATGGATGGAATGGAAAGAATAGAATAGAATAGAATAGAATAGAATAGAATAGAATAGAATAGAATAGAATAGAATAGAATATTGGAATGGAATGGAATGGAATGGAATAGGATAGGATAGGATAGGATAGGATAGGATAGGATAGGATAGGATAGGATAGGAATGGAATGGAATGGAATGGAATGGAATGATGGAATGGAATGGAATAGAATAGAATAGAATAAATAGAATAGAATAGAATAGAATAGAAGCTGGAAGGGACCTTGGGGTCTTCTAGTCCAGCCCCCTGTTGAAGCAGGAGATCCTATACCATCTCAGACAAGTGACTGTCCAGTCTCTTGTGAAAAATGGCCATAAGTCGCTTTTTTCAGTGCCATTGTAACTTTGAACAGTCACTAAGTGAGCTCTTCTTAAGTCGAGGGGCCATCTGTAATCTTATGCTTCTTCTCTATCAGGTTTGAAATTCCAGATCGCCAGGAAATGGGCTTGAGATCCAGTCCCGAAGGTGCTTTTTTTCAAGAGGCAACTGGACTCTCTTGTTTTTCTTTGAAGATGTTTCGCTTCTCATCCAAGAAGCTTCTTCAGCTCTGAGTGGATGGCAGGGAATGGAAGGATTCCCAGAAAAACTGCAGGCTACAGGAACCATTGGCACTTCAGTTTGCGATGCAGACAATCCCCAATCTTCCCCAAAAGCCTCTGCCTCTCTTCAACAAGGAAGGGACACAGGGCAGGAAAACATCCCGCAGAAAGTACAACTCAAACTTCTCAATGAAAGAACCTCCAAGCGGCCTCAACGACTCTCTAAAAAGGATGCAAATGACCAGCTGTCTGCAAGGAGCATAAATCCTTCCATTCCCCACCATCCGGTCAGAGCTGAAGAAGCTTCCTGGGTGAGAAGCGAAATGTCTTCAAAGAAAAAAACAAGAAAGTCCAGTTGCCTCTTGGAAAGAAAAACACCTTCGGGACTGGATCTCAAGTCCATTTCCAGGCAATCTGGAACTTCAAACCCGGTAGAGAAGAAGCCTAAGATTACAGATAGTCCTCGACTTACAACAGCTCATTTAGTGACCTTCAAAGTTACAACGGCACTGAAAAAAGTGACTTATGGCCATTTTTCACACTTATGACCATTGCAGCATCCCCGTGGCCACGGGATCAAAATTCAGATGCTTACGGGATACGGGATCAAAATTCACTCGCTTGGCAATTGACTCATTTTGATGGTGGTTGCTATGTCTCGGGGTTGTGTCATCCCCTTTTGCGACCTGACAAGCAAAGTCCATGGGGAAGGCAGATGCCCTCAACAACCAGGTTGCTAACTTAATCACTTCAGTGATTCACTTAAGAGCTGTGGCAAGAAAGCTCGTAAAATGGGGCAAAACTCAACTTAACCAATGTCTCGCTTAACAACAGGAACTTTGGGTTCTCAATGGTGGTCGTAAGTCGAGGACTATCTGTATTTGGCAAGGCAGAGAGTTTGATTCTTCCCACTGGCTGTACAGTAGTGGCCAAAAATATGGAAATCTTTTGTGGGGAAAAGTGTATTTTCTAAAACTAGCTAATAACACCACTTTTTTTTTTTTTAGTAGTACCATAAAATTATATATCAATGGAAAGACAATTTAATCAAGAATATAGTGCAATCACTTTTATGAAGGATTTCCTATTAGAATAGCAGTTACAGTATAAAGAAGAAAAGTGAAACACGTAGAAAAAACGAGATATATAAAAATTATCACCATAGAAAAAACGAGATGTACAAAAATGATCCCCATGTCAGTTAATCCTTAGTTGGGTAACCTTTAGCACGAATGATGGAGTTACAATGTCTTCCCATGGAGTGAACCAAGTCTTTTAGTTCTGCAGCTGTTCTAATGTGAAACCAAGATTGAATGATGGCTTCTATTAACTGGGTTTTATTGCTGGGTCACTTCTGACTAACAAGTTTCTTTAGTCAGCTCCCTAGATTTTCAATTGGGTGAAGGTCTGGGCTATTCCCAGGCCATTCCAGGAATAGGATTATCTTGAAACTCCCCAAAAAAGTGGTGTTATTAGCCATCAAACCAAAGTGTATTAAAAATACACTTTTCCCAAAAGGTTTCCACAATTTTGGCCACTACTGTACGTGAGCTGCCCGGCAGCCTGTTCAGCTGAAGACAGTGAAAATATTTCAGCTAAAAGAGGAGACAATGCAAGAGTTTCTTTTAGATTTTCACATGTAAACAATCACACCATTCACTATTCAGTTCAGAATGCAAATACGGTCGTGCAGGAGCCGAGAAACTGAAGCAGCATCAATAAAAATCATTCTTGGGTTCTGATCTCTGTTATGAAAAACACATAAATCCATCCAAAAACAAAACCCCAACAATCCTGCACCAACAAAGCAAAATTTGGCAGAGGTGGGTGGGTTTGGTCACTTCCCAGGAGGCAAACAATGCTAAAAAGTCTTAAAATGTACCAGTTTCTATTTCACCCAAGACCAAGAAGCCCAGCTGTTTCAAGAGCTGGCTCTTTCCATCTGGTTCCTTCAGAGAAGTTGTGCCAATGACCCTCCGGGGTGGCCGGTGGGACTCAGGTCCCACAGATGGTGCCAACTTGAGGAAGGCTTAGTTTACATGCTGGTGACTGACCCTTGAATCCAAGGCTGTGCATCTTGGAAAGCAAAAGGAGTTCTGATGCATGATGTAGCTCCTCAGCTGCTGCTTCGCTCACGAATGAAGATTAGCTCACGGCTGGCATTACACGACTTGAGGCTTAAAAAGCCAGCCCCATTTTAAAGGAAAAGCAAGCTACGCAGTGAGTGAAACAAGACGAGGAGAACAAAAAAATATGGGAGAGAAATCATCGCATTCAGAGGTGGGTTTCAACAGGTTCTGACCAGTTCTGGAGAACCGGTAGCGGAAATTTTGAGTAATTCGGAGAACCGGTAAATACCACCTCCGCCCCCAATCTATTCTCTGCTTCCCGAGTCCCAGCTGATCGGGAGGAAATGGGGATTTTGCAGTATCCTTCCCCTGGTTTGGGGAGGGAATGGAGATTTTACAGTATCCTTCCCCTGCCGCGCCCACCAAGCCACGCCACGCCCACCAAGCCACGCCCACAGAACCGGTAGTAAAAAAAATTGAATCCCACCACCAATTCTTCACATTGCATATCATCATATGATAAATCATCATGATAGTACAGTTCTACAGGGGAATTATTGAGTCTGTCATTTCTACCTCAGTAACTGGCTGGTTTGGCACAGCAACGAAACAGGACAGGTACAGATTTCGACGGATAGTTAGGACTGCAGAAAAAACAACCGCAACCAGGCTGCCTTCCATTGAGGCCGTGTACACTGCAGGAACCAGAAAGAGGGCTGAGAAAATATCTGCAGAGCCCTCACATCCTGGACATGAACTCTTTCAACTTCTACCCTCTGGACGTTGCTATGGCGAACCTATGGCACGGGTGCCACAGGCGGCACGCGGAGCCATATTGGTGGGCACGTGAGTGTTGCCCTAGCTCAGCTCCAGCGCGCATGCACGCACCAGCCAATTGATTTTCAGGCCTTCCAGTCCCACCGGAAGTCGGGAAACTGACTGTTTCTGGCCTCCGGAAGGCCTCCGGGGGATGGGGAAGGCTGTTTTTGCCCTCCCCAGGCTCCTAGGAAGCCTCTGGAGCCTGGGGAGGGGGAAAACGGGCCCACCGGGTCATCATGTGCCAAAAGTAGGGAGAAGTATGGGGGGGGTCACGTGCACATGCACGGGAGGGCAGGGCGCATTGAATTATGGATGTGGGCACACACACACACGACCCCCCCGCGACCCCCGCTTTTGGCATGCGACGGCAAAAGGGTTAGCCATCACTGCTATAGATCATTGCATGCCAAAACAACTAGACACAAAAATAGTTTTTCTTCCTCTGTGCCATCACTCTGCTTCACGTCTAATTCCCACAGCATGTTTTAGGCCTAAAAATATTTTCCCATGTTGTAGGGCTGTATTGCTATATGATCCTTCTCATCTTATTTTTCATCTTTTCTCATCTTTCCTACTAGCTTAAGAGCCTTGGTGGCGCAGTGGACTAAACTGCTGCTGTTAAAGTAGTATTTAGCTGCCAGCTGCCTGCAATTACTGCGAGTTCAATTCTCACCAGGCTCAAGGTTGACTCAGCCTTCCATCCTTTCGAGGTAGGTAAAATGAGGACCCAGATTGTGGGGGCAATAAGCTGACTTTGTATAAAATAGAACACCGCTTAGAGGGGGGCGAAAAAGCCCTACTAAGCAGGTATATACAAAAGTATGAAGGCTATTGCTTAATGCATTGTAAGCCACCCTGAGTCTCTGGAAAAGGGTGGCTTATAAATCGAACTAATAAATAAATAAATCTTCTCCTATCGGTATCCTATGATTTATCACTTGTTTATATCTTATAATTAATTATTGTAACTATGATTTATGATCTATGACGTTATCACTTTGTTGTTTGTATATACACTGAGAGCTTATGCACCAGAGACAAATTCCTTGTGTTCCAATCACTCTTGGCCAATAAAGAATTCTATTCTATTCTATTCTATTCTATTCTATTCTATTCTATTCTATTCTATTCTATTCTATTCTATTCTATTCTATTCTATTCTATTCTATTCTATTCCATTCCATTCCATTCCATTCCACTCCACTCCACTCCACTCCACTCCACTCCTCTATTATATTGTATTGTATTGTATTGTATTGTATTGTATTGTATTGTATTGTATTGTATTGTATTGTATTGTATTCCATTCCACTCCACTCCACTCCACTCCACTCTATTCCATTCCACTCCATCTACTCCTGTATTGTATTGTATTGTATTGTATTGTATTGTATTGTATTGTATTGTATTGTATTGTATTGTATTCCATTCCACTCCATTCCACTCCACTCCACTCCACTCCACTCTATTCCATTCCACTCCATCTACTCCTCTATTATATTGTATTGTATTGTATTGTATTGTATTGTATTGTATTCTACTCCACTCCTGTATTGTATTGTATTGTATTGTATTGTATTGTATTGTATTGTATTGTATTCCATTTTCCATTCCACTCCACTCCACTCCACTCCACTCCACTCTCCACTCCACTCTATTCCATTCCACTCCATCTACTCCTGTATTGTATTGTATTGTATTGTATTGTATTGTATTGTATTGTATTGTATTCCATTCCACTCCACTCTATTCCATTCCACTCCATCTACTCCTCTATTATATTGTATTGTATTGTATTGTATTGTATTGTATTGTATTGTATTGTATTGTATTGTATTGTATTCTACTCCACTCCTGTATTGTATTGTATTGTATTGTATTGTATTGTATTGTATTGTTCCATTCCATTCCATTCCACTCCATTCCACTCCACTCCACTCCACTCCACTCTATTCCTGTATTGTATTGTATTGTATTGTATTGTATTGTATTGTATTGTATTGTATTGTATTGTATTGTATTGTATTCTATTCTATCCTATCCTATCCTATCCTATCCTATCCTATCCTATCCTATTCTTATTCTATTCTGCTATGATTGGGGAAAGGAGCAGAGGCTCAACCCCATTTGGAGGGGGGCAATGAAAATTCGATGGGACCAGCAGCTACCCCATGACTCAGCCTAAAGAAATAACAAGGCTTAATGGTTACCTACCGATGCTGAGGCCCTTCTGTTGTAGTCCGGGGAATGGGGCCAGGAATACGGTTCAACCGATGCAGCGCTGGTTATGAAGGCTGTTGCATACATGACAGCGGCTGAGACATTTAACACCACAAGCTGGGGAAAAGAGGAGAGAACCAGGGAATCCAGAGGTGAAAATCTCTTAAGATTCTGGACTGGGTCTTGGCAGGGGCTCAGCCCAGGTTTTAGCCCCCGTTTCTTTTTTTTCTTTTTAATTATTTTATTTGCAACGTTAAAAATACAAAGTCCAAAACGAAAGGAAAAAAATATAAAAGCAGAACTAAAGAAGACATAAAATAAAAATAAAAATACAGTGCATACAAAAGAGAAAGAGAGAAACCCCCCATACACATAAATTGTCCTCCCTAGTTGAAAACCGATAAAATATATTAAAAGAATAGTAGTTCCCCGCCCCTTGCGAAACAGGCTCACCGTTTATGTTTACAACTCTATTTACTCAACCAATTTGCTCCATCCACTTCCTTTTTGATAAACAGGCTGTATTGACAAATTGACTTCCTTTTTCATCTCCCTCCTATCTCCATCTCCCTCTAAACAATGTTATAGAGCAGGGATGGCGAACCTTTTCGGCACCGAGTGCCCAAACCGGAACATGCATGCATGTGTATGCATGTGCATGCACTGGAGCGCCGGAAACCCACCCGGCTGGCGCACGCATGCCTGTTTTCAGGCCATTTTCCAGGCCGTTTTCCAGGCTAAAAGCGGCCCAAAAAAACAGTTTTTGGGGCGTTTTTCGGTCTCCCAACACCCATGAAAACCAGCTGATATGCACGCCAGAAACCAGAAGAGCAGTTGGTGATGGCACGTGTGCCCACAGAGAGGGCTCTGTGTGCCACCTTTGGCACGCATGGCATAGGTTTGCCATCACGGTTATATAGCTATAGCACTTAGATTTATATGCCATTTCACAGTGCTTTCCAGCCCTCTGTAAGTGGTTTTACAGAGTCAGCCTCTTTCCCCCAACAATCTGGGTCCTCATTTCACCCACCTCGGAAGGGAAGTTGGCTGGGCCAACTTTGAGCCTGGTGAGAATTGAACTCCTGGCAGTGGGCAGAGCTAGCCTGCAATACTGCATTCTAACTACTGCAAAGGATGGATGGAAGGAAGGAAGGAATAGCACTTAGACTTATATACCGCTTTACAGTGCTTTGCAACCCTCTCTGAGCAATTTACAGAGTCAGCCTCTTGCCCCCAACAATCTGGGTCCTCATTTTACCCACCTCGGAAGGATGGAAGGCTGTGTCAACCTCTTGAGCCATTGAGAATCGAACTCTTGGCAGTGGGCAGAGTTAGCCTGCAATACTGCATTCTAACAGGGAGGAAGGAAAAGGAAGGAAGGAAGGAAGGAAGGAAGGAAGGAAGGAAGGAAGGAAGGAAGGAAGGAAGGATTATATACCGCTTCATAGTACTTTTACAGGCCTCTCTAAGCTGTTTACAGAGTCAGCCTCTTGCCCCCAACAATCTGGGTCCTCATTTTACCCACCTCAGAAGGATGGTAGGCTGAGTCAACCTCGAACTAGTCAGGATCGATCTGCTGGATGAGGGCAGAGTTAGCCTGCAATACTGCATTCTAACCACTGTGCCACCATATATATCCTTTAAGGCTGTGATAGTGAACCTATGGCATGCATGCCAGAGGTGGCACACAGAGCCCTCTCTGTGGGCACACGTGCCATTGACAGCTGCTCTTCCGGGTTCCATCACATCCATGCACCCTGGCCAGCTGCTCTCTTCTGGGTTCCAGCGCACGCATGTGTGCTGCAACCCGGAACAGAGCAGCTGGCCGGGGCGCATGCACGCGACAGAACTCGTAAGAGCAGCTGGCCGCCGTACACATGTGCAGCAGCCAGCTGCTCTCTTCCGGGTTCTGGCGCTCTGGTGCATGCATGCTCCAGTTTTGGCACTCGGTGCCAAAAAGGTTAGCCGTCACTGCTTTAAGGCATATACATCCTTAAAGATTATCATCCTGCTTTTGAAAAAAGACAAAAACTTTGATCACACAGATACTTGCTAATGGATGCCCATCCTGGTTGGTTGCTTTAACCTATAGGACTTCTTCCTTCTCAAAGAAAGAGGAAACAGGTATTATAAAAGGTAGATTGACTTTCAGATTAGTCAAGGCACTTCTGGGTCACTTCCACCACACATGGAGAAGATTTAAACAATAATATGGGACTTTTAAGAGACTGGGTTGCAGAAAACTGGAATGCTCATCCCGACGAAGAGAAGAATTGAGTCAACAGATAAATAAATAAAACAAGTCATATTTTAGTGTTGACTGACAAGGAAACCAAATGCAGAAGGTGAACGATGGAATGAGATGCAGCTATTCAACTCATTTTCCAAGGCATGAGACCTGGAGCCACTGAATATGACATTGACTAGAGGTGGGATTCCCTTCCCTTCCCTACCGGTTCGCAAACGTGAACGCTCTGCGCATGCGCGTGGCCTTCTGTGCATGAGCAGTAGTCACGCATTACATCCGGGCGGGTGGGCAGAGCCTCCCGCAGTTGCTGCTACTGGTTCGCGCGATCCGGACAGAACTGGCTGAATCCCACCACTGACATTGACACGTGAAAGGGCTGTGCAATGCACATTAAGAGAGGAAAGACAACCCCTGGCTACAACTCACTAAAACAGTTTCATCTTTTTCTGGGATCACCCAGAAAAGTTTTGGGGGAAATTTCTGCAGCCAGAAAACCTGTAAGAAGATGCGGCTGCTTTAATGAGTTGCAAGCAAGTGCTTCATTGGCGTTCCTGAAAATGCCATTTCTAGTTTTTGTGACAGCGCGCACAGCCCTGAATGCTCCAGTGTGGTGCTTTCTTTTACAGTGGGCTTGGTTTCCCATTATTTAAACATGACTGATGCAGTCATTCCTGGGAGCTGAGCCACCATTCAAAGGAACAGCGTAGAAATCAAAATAAGAGCATTAGGGGTTGGACTAGAAGACCTCCAAGTCCCTTCCAACTCTGTTATTCTGCCTTCTGTAAGCGACCCATGCAGAGATGATTTGGTCACATTTTTTTAGAACTGCCACATGGCGTTGGCGTGGGATGTTTTCTGGCTGAAACGAGCCTACTTCGGTGACTTGCCAGTCAGCACTGCCCTTTCACTTTAGGGAAGGATAACAAGAGCAGCACTGTTACTCTCCTTCAACCCAGGGCAAGGCCACCAGAAATGGAGAGGCGGTTGTTGGTCACTCTAGGACAGATGAGACAGGACTCTTAACTGTTGGGAGAGAGGACTCGTAAGTTGGAGCTGCGAGTGGAGATGTAACCAGTGATGGGATTCAAATAATTTAACAACCGGTTCTCTGCCCTACTGACCGGCTGGGTGGGTGTGGCCATGGTGGGCGTGGCCAGGGGGTGTGACAGGCAGCATTGGCCTCCTGCACCCCCCTGGGAGCCAAAACGGGCCTGGAGCCACATGTGGCTCTTTCACCCCTCTGTTGTGGCTCCCTGTCACTCAAAATATCCGTCACAACCGCCAATGTGTGTCCCTGCCGGCACACAATTTATTGAGCTTTTCAACCCCCGGTAGGCCAACCATGGATAAATCCAAGAAAAGAAAAGAAGTTTCAGAAGAAAACAGAATGTATAATTCAACTACATATGCTAGTTTTGTGGCCACTCAAGAAATAGTCAGGCACCTGAAGGGTTTTGTGGCTCCCGGTGTTTTCTTTTCTGCGGGAAACTGCGGGTCCAAATTGCTCTTTGAGTGTTTAAGGTTACAGACCTCTTTTCTAGACCTACAAGGTCCCTTCCAACTCTGTAAAACTGTTAAATCTGTTAAATTATGATAAAAATGGATTTTCTTGGTCTTATGACTTAAAGCAGAAGAAAGAGGGGCAAAAGTGAAGGTATGATTCATTTAGGAAATGATCATGTCGGTGGTGGGTTGCCCCCGGTTCGGACCGGTTCTCAAGAACTGGTAGTGAAACTGGCAGGAGGCCCCGCCCATTGCCCCGGATGTCATCATCAGCGATCTGTGCATGCGCGTGATCCCATTGCGAACCGGTAGTAAAGGTAAGTAGAACCCACCCCTGGATCATGTCATAAACGTATTTCACCTAGCTCAGTATTGGCTCTTATTTATTTAACCTGTTTAAACAAGTTACTTAAGTAGTAGCTTCACTTGCACCGAATACGAAGCTCTTATTATTGTGGCTTAAGGGCACTGGGCAAAGCCCATTGAGTGAGGTCACGGCTCACAATAAGTTGCGAGTGCAGAAAATGAATCAGTGCAGGAACTGAGTTCCACGCCTGGTGCACAATGGCCTTTGAGCCACAGCATCTCACAGGCTTCAGAGTGAGTCACCCGAGCTGGAGATATCAAGGGATCGGTCTGGACCTCTCCAGATGCCAGGGGTTTGCCATTCCTCAAAGCTGAAGGAGCGTTTCTCTTTTTCAAGAGAAAAAGATCTTTTGAGAAGGGATGAGACGTGTGTAATTATTGTGGCTGCTCTCGCAAGACGCCCTGTGATGACACGTAATTTAAGAGAAAGCAAAGAAATGGACTTGTTCCTCACCGTTCTCTTGAACCTTCTTTTACCCTTGTAGGTAGTCCTTGAGATACAAGCACAAATGGGACCAGAATCTTGGTCGTTATGCAAAACGGTCATTAAGTGAGATGCTCACGAGTGCTTTGCTCAACAACCGTAATCCCAGTATTCACAGTTGTGGTCATTAAAAGATCTCTTGGGTTGTTAAGTGGACAGAGAGAAAGAGCTGCCAGATGAGTTCAGCTCCCATCTATGCACGAAAGAGAACCGTCTCGGTGGTCTGCAGGAACGGACCTTGGATTTCGGGATCAGAGTTCTGTTTCTGCAGCCCGCCAGAGAAGTTCAGCTCCCCTCAGTGGGAGCTCTTCTAGCCAGTTCCCAGAGATGAGGGAGTCTTCTAGGCAGGTAGCAGCAACAACTTCCAACCTTTCCTGCTGGGTTCCCCAGTGACTTTCTGGGGAAGCCAGCAGAGAAGTTTGCACTTGGCAACCAATTGTTAGTTTAAACAGATTGCTAAGCACCCACATCATGATCATCTGACTGCAGAAGGGGGTTGTTGTGGTCTACCAGCAGCCTGCAGAGCTGGCAGCGGAGTCAGATAGTGAGGAGGCTGAGGAAGAACATGGGCCAATCCTGGAGGCTGAGGAAGGCCCGGATGAGGGCTCTGTGTCGGAGGGAGAGATGGGGCCAGGGCCATCAGGGAGCGATGCACGGATTCCGGAGCCTCCAGAGGCTGACAGCAGAGAGGCAGAGGAACAGGAGGAGCCTGTTCCTAGTGAACGTATGAGAAGAGCTGCCAGAAGGCAGGAGCAGCTAAAGCAAAAAGGATGACTCTGGAGTAAGGCCAAGAGATGATTGGCCCCTCCCATACGGCTTAAAAGACCAGCAATGGCTCTTGGGCTCTTTGTCGGAAAACAATGTCGATAGATTTGTTTCTTGTCTTGCTGCATTTATTTCTTGTCGGCGTCTTCTGCTTCTGAACTTGTGCCAAGAGAAGCCTTTGGCAGGTTGCCAAAGTAGACCAAGGTTGGTGATAAGGCTGAAGAATTTGTGCTATGAAGAATTTGTTTGGAATTAGTTTGGACTATGCTGAGAATGAGTTAATTCTCAGCTGTTCTAATAAAATCTGTTTGTTTAGAACTGATTGCGTCTGATAAGATCTACTTGGGCCTGAGTCACAACAGGGGTGCAACATTTTATAACAGCCAGAAGTGCTGAGGCTTTCTGAGGCCGCTGTAACTTTGAATGGTTGTTAAACCACCATCATAAGTTAAGGACTATCTGTATATGACACTCTCAGATAGGGATGTGAAATATTCCTCTTCCTTACTACCCACCTTATTTTTTTTCCCTTTGGGGGGATCAGGCAAAAAAACCTACTGTATAGTTTTCAGGTTTACTGCTAACTATCGTGATATGTAAAGTTTCAGGTGGGAGCAGAGATCCCCAGACAAAAGATCGCTTTCATGCAAACTTAAAATAACTATCTGCCTCGGGAACCTGAAAACAGACTTGAGCCTTCGGGTCAGCATTTCACCTCTCATGGATTAACCTACCAGAAGTATCTCAGAATCAATACACACATCAATAAGAGTCGTGGTGGGACAGTGGTTAAAATGCAGTACTGCAGGGCTAACTCACTGCTCACTCCAGCAGTTCAAGTCTCACTGGCTGAAGGTTGACTCAGCCTTCCATCCTTCCGAGGTGGGTAAAATGAGGACCCAGATTGTTGGGGGGCATAGGCTGACTCTGTAAACTGCTTAGAGAGGGCTGGAAAGCACTGGGAAGTGGTATACTGTATAAGTCTAAGTGCTATTGCTTCCTTCCTTCCTTCCGTCCTTCCTTCCTTCCTTCCTGTTAGAATGCATTATTGTAGGCTGACTCTGCCCACTGCCAAGAGTTTGATTCTCACTGGCTCAAAGTTGACTCAGTCTTCCATCCTTCCGAGGTGGCTAAAATGAGGACCCAGATTGTTGGAGGCAAAAGGCTGACTCTGTAAACCGCTTAGACAGGGCTGTAAAGCACTGGGAAGCGGTATATAAGACTAAGTGCCATTGCCCTTCCATCTGTCCATCCATGATGCACAGTGGTTAGAATGCAGCATTGCATTCCCACTTTCAGGAGTTTGATCCTGACCAGCTCAAGGTTGACTCAGCCTTCCATCCTTCCGAGGTGGGTAAAATGAGGACCCAGATTGTTGGGGGCAAATAGGCTGACTCTGTAACCGCTTAGAGAAGGCTGTAAAGCACTGGGAAGTGGTATATAAGTCTAAGTGCTATTGCTATTGCTATCAAGCTTGTCTTCCTCTCCCATTCAGGCTCCTGTGCACCCAATACCTACAGATGAACTGCTCCATGCCTGGAGGCAGCAGTTAGAAGCCACCAATAGACCTGTCTTTTAGACTTGAAATGGGGGCAGGTTCCAAATTTCGTCATTACTGGTTCACTCGTGGGGTGCACGCGCTTGCACGCACGCACGGTGCTTCTGCCAGAAGCATCCGGGCAGGTCAGCAGAGCCTCCCACCGCCACCACTGCTACCGGTTCACCTGAACTGGGGCGAACCGGTAGCAACCCACCACTGACTTGAAGGCCACCAAGTATCAATAATTTGTAAGAAACCTGGAATTTAAATTCCCAAGGATAGAAAGCTAATGGACATCTTCTTACAAGCAGTAGGCAATCAACTTTTAGTGCAGCTTTATTCTCTGCAATAAAGATTTTAAGCTAGCCAAGCCACATTGGAGAGAATAGAATAGAATAGAATAGAATAGAATAGAATAGAATAGAATAG